TGTCAGCATTTTGGAAAACCCTAACTTAACTCTGGTGCCGTGTCACATATAGAAATTTTTTGATATTTGCAACCATAGTAAAACAAAGACTTATATTTTTGATATTTATTTTATATATTTAAATGCCATTTAACAAAGAAAAATCAACCAAAAAAATGAGTTCGCGTGTCACCTCTGACACACGTGTCATAGGTTCGCCATCACTGTTGTAGACCTATAGTCACCCCAAGGTTCCAAGCACTCTAGCCTTGGCCAGGCCTCCACTGCATCTGATGTCTGTGTGTGCTGCGCCCCCTTGAGGTAAGGAGGGCTCCTAACAGGCACCTGCCAGAAAGTTGGCAAAAGGGCCAAGTGGGTGGATGGCTCCACGGCAACAGCTGAGTGGACAGTCACTCATGGAGAAGAGGACTGCATGCAGCGATTCTCCACCTTCCTAATGCCGCGACCCTTTAATACAGTTCCTCATGTTGTGGTGACCCCCAACCATCAAATTATTTTCGTTGCTACTTCATAACTGTAATTTTGCTACTGTTATGAATCGTAATGTAAATATCTGATATGCAGGATGTATTTTCAGGGGTCGTGACCCACAGGTTGAGAACCACTGGTAGAGCCTGGCGTGCTGGGGTTTCTCTCCTAATCCCTAGAAGCCTGGGGTGCTTGTGAGCGTAGGCATAATGCACAGCACGCTGTCTCAGGATTAGGACTTGGGCTTACGCAGGTATACACTGCGCTGTCCAGTGTGGCAGCCTCCGGCCACACGTGGCTATCTAAATTTAAATTAATTAAAGTGAAATAATATTTAAAATCCAGTTCTTCAGTCACACTAACCTTATTACCAGTGCTCAGTAGCCACAGAGGGCCCGTGGCTGTGTAGTGGACTGCACAGCCATAGAACATTTGCATCAGCACAGGATGGTCTAATGGACAGAGCCGGGCATGTTTCAGGCCTCGAGAGGGGGAGATTCTCTCAGAGATGCTGTGTTAAGGCAAGTCTACTAACCCTCTCTCCCAGACCCCTCAGCTGGGCTCTAGGGGAAAAGACCACAGGCCTGGACTCCACTCCCCCACATCCCTGGCCTCACATGAGAATGAGAACAGTCTCTGTAGAACCCTGGGCAGCAGTGGCTGCTGTTGGATGAGGTTTGACCAAAGTCACCAGAGTGGCCCTTTAGAACATGGCTTTTCCCCTAGGGCTGGCAGGACCTCTCCTGCCCACTGCCCGGTGTCCACCCTGACCTGTATCTGCCTCCTCAGGTCATATGGGGACCTGCAGTGCACCCCGTACTGCTACATCGACTCCACACCCTGCCGCTACTTCACCTGAGGACGCCAGGAGGTGGCTGCATCGCACGTACCTGCAGCAGCATTTCCACCCTCATTCAACTGACCTCGTACCGTCCTGGTCCAGATTCCACCACCTTCATTCAACAAAAACAAGGTCAAACTCTTGCTGCTAAGATGTGCTTTTAACTCAGTCTGACGGGAAGAACTCAGGACCACTGCATCCTGTCTTAACCCAAAGTATTGGAAGACCTCCCACATGCCCAGCCTGGGGAGGCCCAGGCTCCCACTGGGCTGGTAGCCGACCAACAGTGTCCACTGTCTTCTGGAGTATGGCCGACCAGGCCCTGGACTGGCTTAGCACTGTTAGACACACATAGACCTGCAGGCTGTTTGCTCGCATCCTGGTGGGGGCACCTGGGTTCCTGTCTTAACCCAAAGTATTGGAAGACCTCCCACATGCCCAGCCTGGGGAGGCCCAGGCTCCCACTGGGCTGGTAGCCGACCGACAGTGTCCACTGTCTTCTGGAGTATGGCCGACCAGGCCCTGGACTGGCTTAGCACTGTTAGACACACATAGACCTGCAGGCTGTTTGCTCGCATCCCGGTGGGGGCACCTGGGGCACCTGGGATATAGGCCTCTGCCCCTCTGACTTCTGGAAGCCTGGGCATCTCACCAGGGAAGCCAGCCTCCAGCTCTCTCCAGGCCGGTGAACCACACAGCAGGAAAGGGGACCTTCTCTCGGGGTAGCTCCCAGCTCTAGACCCACTGAGGGACTCCTCAACTACCCACAGCCCAGAACAGCCTCATGTGGACACGGCTCCCCTAACAAGAGACCCAACCATGAAGAAGTACTGAGAAAGCCTCAAACCCATGCTCTGTCTGGTTAGAGGGTGAGGCTCAGCTGGGGTGCCTATGAGCAGAGAGTAGTGAGTAGTGGCCTTCCACTTTTCCATGTTTCCCCAAGGGCGGCTCTCATGGTCTCACCACTCCAGGCTCCATCTCGACCTCGTGGCTCTCTGCAGTTTGACTTCCATCTCACAAATGCCCCTCATGTCCATTTCTGGCTCAGGAGATTCTCAAGCAAAGTTCATGCCCAGGCAGGGCTGAGGAGAGCCCCGCCCGGGGTTTCCCATCTGGGACCCAACCACTTCTAGGCAAAAACAGTTTCTGTCCTGAGCTCCGACTGCTGGCTGCCTGCTGACTCTTGTGACCCCCATGTCGTCATAGTGCGTAGCCCGGTCCTCATGTCTGTGTGCCCGAGCCCCACAGGTGTCCGCAGGATCATCAGCCTGCACGTCTGTGAGCTGCCTTTCATCACTGGCTTTCCTGAGTGGGGCCCCAGCTTTGTTTTGGAAAGACATCTCCGCACGGCAGACCTCAAATGGGATTTGCCCATTTGTTACCAGATGCAGGGACATCCTAGGCTTTGTACAAAGCTATTTCCTGTGGCTAAGTCTTGGTGACTCAGCAGACAGGAGCGTCTGGTCCAACAGGCCATCATACTACAGTAGATGGGGTCGGCCCAAGGGAGGTGTCATTTGTGGTGGGCACATCGGTCAGCCTGGTTTCCTTAGCCTCTACCCCATGTCCTGGGGTGATGTTGCTCCCATGTAAAGCCACCACCTTCATACTGGGATCTCTGGTGGGAAATCAAGAAATAAAGGCAAAAAGAAAAGAAAAAGAAAGAAAGGCAGTTCCTTTCCCTGCTGTGGCTCTGTCTTCCCTGGGAGTTTGGAAAGTGTCCAGCATTGCCGGGTGGAATGAGGGGTCTGAGTTCAACTCTTCTTTCCAGACTGCAGAAGGTTCTAGAGCTTAGAAGCAGTCCCGCTCCCTCAGGGACAAGGGAGGAAACTGGGGTGCAGAGGTCACAAAGCTGTCTTGCTAGCCCAGCCCCACCCCAGCCTCGTATTATGACCTTGTTTCAGATGGAGATCCAATACTGTCTTGGGCCTGGCTGAGAGGATCCCTGCCCTGGGTCTCACACCTTGGAGGGCACTAATATGTTTAATTACTTTATATAATAAAAGCCTAATATACAAATCGACTGACCAGCAGAACGACTGGTCGCTATGATGCATACTGACCACCAGGGGGCAGACCCTCAACGCAGGAGCTGCCCCCAGCATTGGTGGCAGGGGGTGGGGCCAGCA